CCCTCCCTCTAATTAAAGAACCTACACCCTAAACCCAAATCCACATTATAACTCCCCCTGAAACACACACCTGAATCTCACATTACAAATTAGTTCTTGATTTGTTTTTTAATTTTATTTTAATATTTTTTTTTTATATTTTTTTTTGTAATTGTTGTTTTCTTATCCCTTTTATTCTTCTAGTGATCTCATCTTCTTCTTTTTTCTTCTATTTTTTTATTCGTTGTCATCATCTTCTTTTTTCTGCTTCTTCTTCAATTTCCAATTTCTATTCTTCAATCGTTTCTTGTGTCTTCATATCCTCCAACTCACTATTCTTCTTTTTCTTTCTAATTTTCTTTACATTATATTCCCGATTTTTCTTCTTCCTTATTCCCCCTCTCTCTCTATCTTTATCATCTTCGTTTTCTCTTATATCTTCTTATTATAGTTTTTATTTATTTCTTCTTTGCCTTTTTTCTTCACATTCCATTTTTTCTTCTTTGATTTCTTTTTCCTAGTGTTCTATTTTTCTTCTTCTTCTCGAAGTTTCTCATCTTCTTTTCCACAGTCTTCTTTTACTCTACTTGTGTTTTTGTTCCTTCTTGTTTACGTCTTATATTTCACTTATCAATTCATTTGATTTTTTAGATTTTCAGGGATTCGTGAAATAGTTTTTATCTTTATATAGTCGAGATCTTTTTAAAATCTATTTAATTTTGTTGTTTTCTTTTGATTATGGATTTTCTTTAACTGTTTTAGTTTTTTTCTATTTGTGAATGTATTTTAAAATGATAGATATAAATTTATAATCAGTGATTTTTATTTTTGATATACTTCTATAATAATTCAAATTTTTTATAATGCACCAGAAACTAAACACTACACCCATCAATATAAACCCTAAACTATAAACCCAAACCCCACATTATAATCCCCCTCCCTCTAATTAAAAAACCAGAATCCACATTATAACTCCCCCTTAAACCGCACACTTGAACATCATATTACAAATTAGTTCTGGATTTGCTTTTATTTTAATTTTATTTATAAAAGTTTTTTTTCTTTTTTGTAATGGTTGTTTTCTTCTCCCTTTTATTCTTCTCTAGTAATCTCATCTTTTTCTTTTTCTTCAATTTTTTTATTCGTTGTGATCCTTTTATTATTTTTGCTATTTTGTTACTTTCAAAAGATACAACAAAAAAATCAATTTCTTAGAAAGAAATATATTTTCAGGTACTTGGGAGCTTTGTAGCTGTGGACTCATGGCATTTATTGAGTTCTTCTGTTGCGAGCTACTTTAAATCAGAAGCTCTTTTGTCATCTTGTTCAGATTTGGCTGCAAAATCTGCTCTTGAGACCATCACCCGAGTTTTTTCTTCTCGGACACCATTCCTAGGTAGTTACCTTTGTCCATCTATCCGCAGTTGAAGGTTTCTTTAAATCTGTAGGGATACGAAAAGAACAATGTTGTGATCCAAATTCATAATACAATTTAGAATCACTTTCACATTTTCCACTATATGCAGCTTCATAAATCCAAAAAGCTCAAACACAGACATAAAAACCAAAATTATAGGCAAAGGTATATACTCATATAGATAAGACAATTGAGCTGTGTGCATGCTTGTAGAGATGTTTATGTACTTTCAATTGGTTTTGTGTTCTTACTCTTCATTTTTTATCTTTTGATTTTTCCAACTTTTTATTCTTCACATATTCTACAATTCTTTTCTTCTTTTGTTTTCTCCGTCTTGTTTTCCAACTTTTATCTTTTCCTTATTTTTATTCAGCTTTTTTCTTCTTATTTCATCTTCAAAAAAAAGAAAAAATAAAGAAGCAACATAGCTATTGTAAGAGAACTGATATTAAAGTTTACCATGGATGCAAACATAAAAAGTTTACCATGGTACTTTAGTTTTCATGGCTTTATTTCATAAGTATTTTATCTTATGTTTTTTTTCCAGTTATACTTCTTTCATCAGAAAAAGAAAAAACAAAGAAGAAACATAGTTATTGTAATAGAACTAATATTAAAGTTTACCATGGATGCAAACATAAAAAGTTTACCATGGTACTTTAGCTTTTCATGGCTTTATTTCATAAGTATTTTATCTTATGTTTTTTTTCTTCCAGTTATACTTCTTTCATCTTCTTTATTTTATTTGTCTTCTACAACAATTTTCTGGTTTTCTTGAATCCCTCTCATTCCAATTCATATCAATGGCCTTACATCAGTTGTTTACCTCCGACAAACACATTGTCGTTTCTATTCAGTTGGTTTTACCTTTCCCTCCCTAAGATCTCTTCGTTTACCTCACTTCAAAACCTTGGTATCTCCAACACTAGTTTCACTGGAACTATAACTCTTAACTTCATTGTTTCTCAAGATGGTGGTGTTTCTTGTGGAAATCAATTTGCATCTGATTTCGGATAGAGGATCGTCTGGGTTGTGTTTCTTAATCACAACCAAGCTTGTCTCTTTGTCTTAATTAACTTATCAGAATTTTAAAATAAGTTAATCAGAGTCCAGAGGAGAAACCCTTTTCTTTTTAGCAATTCCCTCGATGCTACCAAGCCTTCACAGACAGGACAGTAAGACACCGAACTTTATACAGAGGCAAGCCAATGAACAAAAGTATTAGGAAATGCGAATCAGCGAATCGAGTTTTTTTTAGTAAACTCTTTATGATAAAAAAATCTATAGAGATGAAGATGTAAAAAAAAATTGAAACTTACCAGTCATGAGCTAGAACATGTCAATGAAAGTAATTCTAGATTCAGTTCCAAACAAAGTTATAACATGGTCGGGTTATCCACATTTAATAATGCTGAGTAAGAGAGTACCACAAAAATAAAGAGCTCTTCAATGAGGTCTCTGAACAGCTTGACAGCCTTTTCCTTGTAGTACGAAACAATATACGTTAATTTGAAAAAAAAACGATAAGTTAGGCCTTGATCGGAAGAACTGTTTGGTGAGCTTAGAGCTTTTTTAATGCCAATCATAATATTTAATTGAGAAGAAAATGAAGCAGGGAGGGCTTCAAATTGCTCGATGGCCCAATGCTCTCAAAATGAGCTTTTCAACAGCAGGGAGCATTATAAATTGCTAAAAGTTATTAATACCCCTAATTCTTTAATTAATGTTCTGCATATGCCATTGAGAGATCATTATAAATTCATGTCTAATTTGGTAATTTGGCATGTAAAACCTCTATGCTCTCCCAATCATAAATTATGATTTTATTAATTAATAGTTTACAACTCCTTTGGTTCTCTGCTTCTGCTCCTTACAGCTACAGCTCCACTATAGACTCTTCCAATCAAGGCCTAACAAAACAAAGCATGTTAACGTGGACACATAACATATATTTTTGAAGAAAAGAAACAAAACAAATTTTAAAAGAAATATATCGGAGCAACTCGATGAACTTCTTACATCCTTCTTAGCCTATTTGAATAGAAATTATTTCAATGACCATATATTTTTCTTGTGTTTATACAATCTGGACGATAATGTATATATATAAATAAGAAAAAAGAGAGAGAGTTTCGTTTGAATGAGATCAACAACGTGATTAAAATTTACCATTATTTGCGCGATCCACTTTGTCTTAACAAAGATGCAAACACTTTCTATCTCGTTTTCTATGTGAGGAACACCGGGTCTTTGTGAAATTCTGCAGCAACAAAAAAGGACAAATAGATTTGGGTTTAATCAGTTACCATCACAAACACATGATAATACAAAGAAAAGGAATAAGAAACACACCCATCGGACTTAGATTTTGATGGTAAATCTAAAATAGATGTGACTATCTTTATCGTTGTGATGGTAAAATACACACCCATTGACGTGAAATCCATCGCTTGATCATGTTGTGGATATCATCGCAGACGTGACTTGCTTTATCAAAGAATTGCATAAAAATAAGTTTATTAAACCTTAAAATAGCATGCTGCATGCAAAGCGAACGTTTCTCCACGTTGTGGATATCATCACAGAGGTGATCAAGCCGTGAGCCCTTTTGTTAGCTACATGGTGCGCACTTTTATGGGTTAAGTGGTGATCCGTATAGAGATGGAAACTTCAGAAAAAGAGGACCAAAACGATTGGCTTAATCAGCACGATGCACAATCCTAGCAAAACATATTTCAGTACGGTGGAATTTATTAACAAAGATACATGGATTGAGCTTATATAATCCCAATACGTAGATGATAGGCAATCCTGTTCACCCCAGCTATTGTAACCCACAAGTAATCAAAGATCTTCAAAGAGACTACATCATAATTATCACGGCGGAGACCGCTTAATATCACTCCTTTTTCTTGTGGCGGATGTTTGTATTTATAGGTTAAGATTGATTAAGTTATTAGGGGTTCTGCGTAAATCTTTATGATATTAATTTCAAATTGAATGATTAGCAAGAAGGAAAAATATAATTTTATTTATTTATTAATTTTTTAGTGTTTCAGTTTTTTTTTTTTAAGTATTAATTTTTAAAAGGAGATTTTAATTAAAAGGAAATTTTTATTGATTAATAAAAAGGAAATTTAAAAGATATTGCTAAGATTTTCACTAAGGGTAGTTATGTAACTCCGAGGCTGAGAGTTAACGTGGTGCCTCCATTCGAAATTCTGACTTCGCAAATAATAGTATGATATTGTCCGACAAATGGGGCGTGGAAAGCTACGGAGCGCGCCTGCACAGGTGTAGGGTGGTTTTACCACAACTAGGAGAGAGACTTTTACGGTCAACCAATTTAGGAAGGGGATTCACACCCTTACAAATGGAGGTAGAGGCACTAGTATTGGCATGCAATGTATGCTTCAATACAACAAACAAAGTGATGAGTTTTTGAGACAGATGGGACGAGAAGAAAAAATGAGATAGAACAAAAAGGAAAGAAACAAAATGAGATATAATGGACCTCGAGAGGATGGATAGAACATGATGAAAAGAAACAAATTGGGACGGGAAGGGACAAAACATAAATTTCGCCTATCCTTAATTATATTTAGGGACAAGACGAAATAAGACAAAACGGAAAAGAATGGAATGCGATAAGATGCGATTGCATGGGACAGGAGGAACATAACAGACGGAAAATACGCAGAATCAGCTCAGGAATCGGGAACCACAGATCACTCAAGCTGAAGTAGCTCTCGTAAACGGTGAAGTAGCCAGACAGCGGAGATTCGGCACGATCGGTCGGCGACAGGAGCAAGAATTCGACTCCCTCTGAAATCCAGAAAACAGCTCGCAGATCCGCTAGCGAAGTCTCAGTAGACAAAGTCGAACCATGAGGATCAGGGTACACCTTCTTCTTCCGAGGAGCTCGTCGTCGTGAAGGACCAGCTTGCACGCCGTAAAGCATCTCCAATCGAATTATTTCTACTTCAGGATCAAACGGCGGAAATTCGTCTTCCAATTTCACATCTCCAGGATCATCGCGCGGCGAGATAGCGTGCAGTTCCTCGTCATTAATCCGGCCTAACTTGATCGTGCTGCTAGCTTCACCAGGAGGAGCTGCAGTTCGCTCATAAAAACCAGAGGACTTTGCAGAACCAACGGAGTCAACGACCTCCGTCGCTGACATGTTGATATACCTCTATTTTACATGATTTTTATACTATTTTAGTATGGTTTTCTAATGGTTTTTGGCAGGTTTTCTATCTAAAAAGGTAGTTTTATTGGATTTATAGTACTCAAAGTCTAAATAGGTAAAATGATGCATTTTGGAGCAAAACCATAGGATTTGCACTTCAAGTTGTTCCATACCAAAGCATCAACTTTGAGAAGGTCTAGAAAAACATCTACTCAATGGATTTCATCAATACCACTTCCCCGCGTGCTCTGAGTGAGTTAACTTTCTAACAAAAGTGGTTTGGCATCATTTGGATTAGTAGAAATAAAGTTATGATCAAATTAGTGAAGACTGGTCCAGACAGCTTTATCGAGTATTCGCGTCCCAAACCGCGCCGAAGCCCGTTTCACACGTTTTCACGGCCCGACTTAACCTAATGCCGCCTCTGAAAACCTAGTACTATAAATACAACTTTTTAGCCTCTTGAGAAAGAGAGCCGCACTGTACCACGGTTTTAGCACTTAGAGTTTTGTTCTAGAGATTTCAAGGAGAAGATCTCTCCTCCTCACCTCAATTTGGAGAAGTTTTCAAAACCTTTATTGATCTATAATGTTTTCTCATCTCTTTGTGTTGCTGCTTTGATTATGTCTGAGTAATTCACTAGTTAGGTTGTGAGATTTATCAAAGAGTTCATGGTTTGATAGGTTGTTAGAAATCGCCTAGGGTTTCACTATATTTCAGCTTCATCTTCTTGAATTCATTGCTGCTTGCTTTTCTGATCAACTAGCATCAGATCTTAGGTTTCATATACTCTCCAAAAGCTTGCTATATAACCTGAACTAAGTATTTGGTGAGCAAAACTTCATAGACTGCGAAAGTTGATCTATGCGGGGTTGTGAACAATTGGGTCTTGAACGAACTATTGCTTGATTTAATCACCTAGGGACATACCAAAAGTTTAGCGACTAGGTAGATTAACAAAGGGGTCGGAGCCTCGACAGTGGAAAGATCATACAATCGTGACCTGAGTTCTAGATAGCGCAAACCCTAGCGAACCCTTCTAATCATCTTGACCTTGAATCTCTGCGAGTTTCTCATTGCCTAGCGTTTCCCTTTATTGATTTTCATAAACCGTTTAAGCTGCTGTTTGATTTCTTTAGTTACACAATCAAAAAACCCCAAATCATACTTGTTTTCTAGCTATATTAGACTTGCAATACTGTAGTGTACTTATCTGCTCCTTGTGTTCGATACCCGTTTGCTACTTCTGACCTGTGCACTTGCAGAATCAGGGATAGGAAAAGGGAAGACCTGATCCCGCGATCAAGTTTTTGGCGCCGTTGCCGGGGAGCAATACAGCTACCTTCGAGTTCCCAACTATAGTCTAGTCTAGAATTTCGTTTTTCCTTTTTAGTTTTTGCAAATTTTCATTTTTAGTTTTCTTTTGATTGTTTTCTATTTAAAAGATTCTTGTCTTTACTTCTTTCAGGGTTAAACTTGAAGGCAAGACTCTAGCATGAGTGATTCGGACGACCAAGAAGAAGAGACAACACGGCCGCGAGAGATATCGCGCTGGCCAAACAACGCGAGCATCCTCCGGACCTAAACGCTGCGCACGACCGTGCCAATGGCGGGATGCCGAGAAACGGAGTACTGATCAATGAAGAAGTCATGGGAGATTTTGATTCCAACCAACGTTACTAGTTAATCGGAATCCCATTCAGCCACCACTTCCCGGAGGAAGAAGTTATGAGATTTCACCAGAGATCATTGCTTTGGTGAAACAGAATCAGTTCCAAGGAAAACCTCAAGAGAATCCTTTGGAGCACATTGATGCATTTGAAGAAATCTGTGGGACCATCAGTGCGGATGGAGCACCCAAGGAGTACTTGAAGTGCAAACTTTTCTCTTTACATTGACAGGAAAAGCTTAAGATGGGTGAAGTCTCTTCCAGCTCAATCCATAACCACTTGGAAAGAGTACAAAGGGGCATTCTTAGGCCATTTTTTCACAAAGCAAAGAGCAAATCTACTGAGAGAGAAGATCTCTAGTTTCCAACAAGGGCCGGTGGAGCCTTTTCATGAAGCTTTGGAGCGTTTCAAGGATTACACTAGAGAATGTCCTAATCATGGACTATCCTGATGGAAGCTTGTGGAACATTTTCTACAGAGGAATAAGTGGGAAATGCCGATTTTCTCTTGATACAGCCAGCAATGGGAACTTTCATGACCAAGACAGTTACTGAAGCAAAGATTATAATCGAGAATCTAGCCTCAAGCGACAGTGACAACTTCATAGGGCATGAGAAAGCAGTCAAAGCCATAAATTCTGATCCATACAGGGATGGGTATAGTGAAATAAAGGCAATGATGGCCGAGATTTTGAGAAACCAAGGAAAAGAAGTGGCGAGACAAAGAGAAGCTTATAGGGTCGAACCTACACGCATTCAAGACTACTTTGGAGATTTGATTCCAAACTTGCAAGAAGAAGTAAACTTCGTTGGGATAGATGGTCTAACATCAGAGGAAGAAGCTTGGAATGATGAACATAATGCTTTCACAGACCAAGAACCACCCAATGAAAAGAGGAATGCTTATGGAGGAAGGAGTTATCAACAATTTCCTCACAAGAGAAGAATGGAACCAAGGAGTAACTTTAACGATTTGATAACAACATATCGAAAATTTCAAGTACACTAATACATAGGATTTTGTAATTGTTTAATTCAATGTTCTCTCCTCTTTGCCTTTTGTCTTCCAGACATTTAAGACTAATTATTTTTGTTCTTTGTTTTTCGATGTTTCTTTGATTATGGTTGTTTTGGCATGAAGATAATTGATAAATTAGTCATTAGTTTCATTAATCATAACCTGTCTTTTGTATTTTGAATGTCATATATCATGTCAAATGAAAACTTATTGTTACACCCAACAACTTATTGTGGCTGCCCTAAACCTCCTGATAATTCAGAAAAAGAATTTTTGATGCATTCGACCAGTTATAACTTTCATTCTCATTCTCCTAAATCAACTTAAACTTTAAGATAAATGATTTATTAACTAAATAAAACACAGTTTAACTTATCTAAGACTCAAAGCCATTCATACAGTTATGCTGCTTCTACCAAATTTATGCCAAATGGAAAAAAAGAAACGCTGCTTCGCAAAGATTATCATATTCAAAAGAAAAAATTACAAGAATGAAAAAACATATAAATTGAAAAAAAAAATTTGACAAAACCATCCGCGCATTTAACCTAGTAATTTTTAAAATAGCTAGACAGCAAATTAACCCATAACAAAATGAGCCATAACTTTTTTGCAACCTTTTTTCTTGTGTTCTAAAACTCGTTAGGCGGTACTAGGGCGCTCTGTCTCCTTCTAGCGATTTTCTTAAAAGTCTCAACCTGTTTCCACCAACTTAGAGCATAATACTTGAGCTCCATAGCTGCTAGTTTTACTCGGTTGATGTCAGCTATGTTATGTCGGTTGAAGGTAATCTCGCACTTCTTCTCCCAATCCAGATATACATCCGGATCATTGTTCCCAAGGAATGGCGGAATCATCATCCTGTAACCACTAAGATCCCCAACTGGTTTCTTCTTAGATGTGACCGGATCCTTAGGTTGCTTCTGCTTTCCTTCTTTAACATGTTCCCTCCGATCAAACTCCTCAATCATCATCTTCTTGATTTGTTCCAGCATGGTTTCGTTGAGGCTCTTGCTTGATTCCTCTTCATCATCCTTCTCGGACACCATGGTGCCTAGCTTCAAAGTGGCTCTGATACCACTTGATAGACCCTTGATTGAGATCGGCACTTTGAAGCAAGTAAGGATAGAGATGGAGTGATGGAATGGTCGGACTTGTGGAATTGATGGAATGAATTGATGGAATGGAGTGAATGGATGGAATGAATGAATGGAGTGAATGGAATGAATGGAGTGAATGGAATGAATGGCTTATACCAGAGATCTGATGGAAAGAGATCTCCAACGCCACCTTCTATCTTGTTGATATGACACACAACAATCTAAAAGGGGTTTCTTAGATATAACACACTAAGAGGAGTTTTCTTAGATTTAACACACTAAGAGAGACTTTGATTCAACAAAGGGAAAAGGTTTTCATTCAAAGTAGGTTAAAGAGAAAAGGAAATTCGTCCAGAACATATAAAGGGAGAGAAGAGAAGAGAGAAATAAAGAGTCTAGTCTTGGAACATGCTCCAAAGACTATCTCGGAAAAGTAAACATAATTAAAGCAAAGTTTGAACACAAATATGACCCTTGGTCTTCATGGCCACGTTTTTAGTCTTCTTTATTGATGGGCCTAGGTCTTGATCAGCTAAATGGGTTATTTGTATGTGACCCATTTGCCTCATTAAAAACCTTGTCAAGAAAACCCATTGGGACAAAACTTGACAAGGGAAAAAGAGTACAAATGAGACACATGCCCATTGGATAAAAAACCAGGGATCAGGTTGTCTCCATTTTAGCTCAAGATTAACTCTGGAATGAGTAACCAATTCCATTGGTGCAGCTAAAGCTTCCTCAGCTACAAGCTCCGGTTCAAGCTCATTCTCAGCTACAAGCTTACTTCCCTCACGTTCAAGCTGCTCCACTGGTTCAAGCTTTAAGTCCTTAACTCCATCAGGTTCAAGCTTAGGTCCATGCTCCTTGACCTTGGCGCTGGCCATAATCATATCACGAACCCAATTATGTCAGTACCCATGAGTTAAATGAGTTTTATGGGTACCCATATATATAAAAAATCAGTAATATATTTTTATTTTTACAATAAATGAGTAATAATTTTTCTTAAATATACTATATATTATTAAAAATTCACTAAAACTTCCAAATAATAATTTTATAGTAATATTTGTGTATTAAAACAAATTAAAATACTCATAATTAGGTATTAGGGTCAATCCACAAAAATCCATTTATTTATATGGGTAAAAAGGTTTAACCCACCCATTAAAATTTTTGACCGTTAGGGTCAACCCATAATGACCCATTTTGACACCCCTATCTTCATATACCTCTGTTGCATTCCACCTCATTTACGTTTCATACCATATCATCACATCACACACATAAAATCCCATCATTAATTTGGCGCCGTTGCTATTTGGGTTGAATTTTGTTGCATTTTAGTTTCCAATACACTTGGACGATCAAGCTATCCCACCCCTATTCTTTGTATTGCTGGGTTTTTGATTCATTTTGCAGGTGCATGCAAACTCGATCGAGTCGAAGAACTGAAGACTTGGTCGAGCTACATTTCACCACAGGCAGAAAGATAAGTCAGAGAACTCAGAGGGTACAAGCAGAACCTGAGGTGGTTGTTACTGAAACCATGGATGTACCAGAGGGGAATGGAAACCCTTTGGGTAATGGACTCGGTCGAGCTCGGCAACCTCGACCAATTGGTCTAGGAGACGCTCCAAACCGCCACCAAAAAAGGCAAGGGATTGTGCCACCACCTATGCAGAACTACAACTTTGAGATCAAGCTGGGTATGATCAACTTTGTCCAGAACAAGATGTTCCATGCATTGCCAAGTGAAGACCCCATTGATCACCTTGATGAGTTTGATAGGTTATGTGACTTGACCAAGATCAATAGTGTTTCTGAAGATGCCATCAAGCTGAGACTCTTCCCTATGTCTCTTGCTGACAAGGCTCACCAATGGGAGAAGAGCCTGCCCCATGGCACAATCACCACTTGGGATGAATGCAAGAAGGCCTTTCTTGCTAAGTTCTTCTCAACCGGTCGCACAGCAAAGCTAAGAAGTGAGATAGCGAGTTTCATTCAGAGGAACAATGAGACCTTTGCAGAAGCTTGGGAAAGGTTCAAGGGATACATCAGTCAATGTCCTCACCATGGATTCAGCAATGAGTCATTACTCTCCATACTCTACAGTGGATGTTTGGCGCAAAGAGAAATGCTAGACACAGCCAGCAATGGAAACTTCCTCAACCAAGATGTGGAAGATGGCTGAGAGCTTGTAGAAAACATTGCTCGTTCAACAGAAAGATATGGAGAGAATTATGATAGCACTGACTGGAGCTCGACCGCGCACTTGATCGAGCCAGAAGCCCAGATGAGAAAAGATTTGCATGCGCTCCATTCCAAGCTGGACAAGCTGATCTTAGCTCAATTCCCTGCGAAGCAAGTCAACTCTATCTCTGGTACAACACAGGCTACGAAACAGGAAGGGAGGAGCCACAAATTGAAAGCGCACCTCCAAACACAAAGAAGACTATCTATGGTCACACAGCTTATCAAGCACATGCAGCATACATGATTGCTCCACATGGATACAGCCAGCAAGGGCCTCTCCAAAGTTTCCCGCCCGGATTCCCACCAATGCCATATCCCAATACACCAAGTCAATATTGGGACATGAAAGACATGCTTCAACAGCTCTTACGAGGACAGGCCAATGGCACAATGGAGATGAACAACAAGTTGGTCGAGTTAAACACCAAAATAGCATCTCTAACCTCAAGAGTACAACTCATTGAGTCTTCAAGCGCTTCATCGTCTTCAAGCGCTTCATTGTAGACAGTTACCTAACAGAGTTGGTACACCTCAGATCGCTGTGGACATCGATGACGAGGAAAGGGAGGATTTCGTTGAGTATTCGGACATATCTGCCGCCAACTCGATCGAGCCGGAAATCAACACTGAACCAGAGCTCGATCAAGTTAGTGAACAAGAAGCTCCGCAAGACAAGCCAGAACTCGATCGAGTCAGTCCACAAGTTGACAAGGCAAGCCCCAATCAGCCACCAAAACCTGCTGGAAAGAAGAAGGACACTCCATCAAGACCACCGCCATACAAACCCCCTCTACCTTTCCCAGGAAGGTTCAAGAAACAATTGTTGGAAAAGCACAAGGCTAAGTTTGAGGAACTAATGAAGGATCTTGAGCTGAAGTTACCTTTCATCGATGTTTTGATGCTCATCCCACCCTACCAAAAGTTCTTGAAGGATGCTGTACAACAACGAACTAAGGAGGTACAAGGAATGGTAGTCTTGAATCGTGAGTGCAGTGCAATCATTCAACGAAAGGTCATCTCCGACAAAAAAGAAGATTCGGGGAGTTTTACATTGCCTTGCATGATAGGACCTCTGACCTTCAAGAACAGCCTCTGCGACCTAGGATCATCAGTCAGCCTTATGCCCTTGTCAGTAGCGAAGAGACTCAATTATCACAAGTATCAAGCCTGCGGAATCTCACTAGTCTTGGCGGATAGATCGATAAGGTTACCAACGGGGATGCTTGAGGACCTGCCTTTGAGAATAGGAAATGTAGAGATCCCCACTGACTTCATTGTGCTTAAGATGGATGAAGAACCAACAGACCCCTTGATATTAAGAAGGCTATTCCTAGCTACAGCAAGAGCAATGATAGATGTCTGTGAAGGCACAATTGAGCTGAACCTTGGGAAGGACCTAAAGATGAAGTTTGACATCAAGGACACTTTGAGGAAGCCAACAATAGAAGGACAACTCTTTTACGTCGAAGAAATGGATCAGTTGGCGGATGAGCTTTTGGAGGAGCTATCTTTGGAAGACCCCCTACAAATTGCTCTAACCAAGGATCCATCCGAAGGATATATGCACTCAGAGACCAAAGAGTATTCAAATCTCCTTAACACCTTCAGACCGGTTCCAAACATTCTGAGCATTGAAGGATTAGACAGACCAAGATGTGAAGTCTTGGCAGTGAGCTCGATCAAGAACTCAATCGAGTCGAGCCTCGAACAAAGGAACTTGATCGAGCTGGGTGTCGAATGCTAGGAACAAGCTCAAGGAGACTGGTCTGAACTCAAGGTGCCTAAGGTTGACCTCAAACTTTTGCCTAAGGGCCTCAGGTATGTATTTCTGGGTGAAAACTCAACCTACCATGTCATTGTGAACTCTGAGTTGGAACCTGATGATAGGATTTGTGTGTGGATGTGATGATATGATATGAAATGAAATGAGGTGGAATGCAACAGTGGTATATGAAGATGAGGTGGTATGGTGCAAACACAATCACAATCAATCAATTCCCCTTAACCATCATAGTCATGTAGTATAAGGGTATCAATCCAAAGGGTGAAATTGTCACTCTATGAGAATATGAAACACAAGAAAGTCAAGCAAAGTAAAAAGGAATGTAACACTAACAACCTAAAAAAATGAAATGCAGTGCAATAAGTAAAGAAAGCAGTAAAGCAAGCAGCTCGACCAAGGACTCGAGTGGGAACAGAGTAACCAGCTCGATCGAGTTTAGGGTCGAGTTGAGTAAAAAGCGATAAAGGCAGAACTTTAACAAGCTAATGCGATATTAGGGTCTAAGACAGGGTTTACAATCAGGGAAGCTATACTTAATCAATCTTGCTCTTAACAACTTGTATCAAGGTATCTCTTGATATTGAGCTTCTCAATGCCTAGCTAACCCTTTCCCAAGGTGAAAGCTATCAACCAAGGAATGATCTCAGAAACAGGGGGTTAGCCAGTGAGAATCAAGCCTTGGAGGCCATAGGATCATTGCTCAAACTAATCCATCCAACCCCTATGAACTCCATTTCGAGAGCAAGAGTTATTGGAGCTCTTAGTGGACCTTTTCCAAGCGATTTCCATCACTTCCATGTGGAGAATCGCCTATGGACATACAAGCCAGGGGTAGTGGTCATGTAGCCTTAAGGATTGTCCAAAAGAGAGAGATTTCTAGATTAAGAACATAAGCAAGAAGGATTAAGCATAAGATCCCCTAATCTAGCCCATCTCAAACCCTAATGGGTAACTACTCACTACACATGAATGTAAACACAAGCAAATGCAATGAAAGACATAAATGAAAGAGGAGATGAAATAAACAACTTTTATTGAAATAAGCAAGTGCAAATACAAAGAAGATAATCCAGATCTAAGGATTCAAGAAGCAAGAGCTCAAGAACACAAAGAGAGGAGGATTAAAGAGTAAAAGAAATAAATTAAAAAAAGCTAAAACAAAATAATCTAAAGCTTTGTTTTTTCGTGGCTTAGAGCCTTTAAATACAAAGAGGATTAGGTTTAGGGTCAAAGGGAAGTCAAGGGGGAAGCAACATTTTTCGGGTTTGACTGTTGACTTCTCAGCTCGATCGAGTTGAAGCTTGGCCGGTCGAGTTGAGGAACTCGACCGGTCGAGCTGGTCTTCAAGATGGCTTCCTCCTTCTTCCTTTGCGTCCAGTTGAGCTGCGTCCATGCACCAAGTCCTTCCATGCTCCTCACGTCCCATATGCTCCAAATGCTCCAAAAGACCTATTTCAAAGGACCAAACATGCATATGTATGCAAATGCAACCTAAAACTACTATGAATGCATAAGAAGAGAAAAGGAACAAGATATGATGCTAATGGATGCTAAAACTATGCAAAAGATGCATAAAAGATGTACTAAAACTATGTAAAATGCAAGTACATCAACACCCCCAAACTTGACCTTTGCTTGCCCTCAAGCAAACAAATAGAACAAGAAAGAGATGAGGTTTGAAAACAAGTTGATTCAACACTTAAAAACATGTCCTCAAAAGCGATTTGCTAAATGTCCAACTTAGAGATTCTAGAATGCAACAAGGTGAGAGATATTCATTAAGATTTAACCATGCTTATCAACATCAATCCCACTTCACAGTCACTCAAACAATGCATTCAAATCAGCAAATCCCTTTAACATTCATTAAGCAAAAACAGTGAACCAAAAACATGCAAGATCAATCAACTCATTTGGTTTCAAGGGTTTATGGGTTAAGAGACAAAGAGGGTCTCTTTTGTATGGTGGTTTAGTAACAGGGATCTCTCAAGAAAGTGGCTTTGCTTTGGCAGAAGGCTAAGTGTTAGAACCAAAGATGATGCAAGAACAGCAGCTCGAGCCGCCTAATCCTAACTCGATCGAGTTCAACACTTAGAGCTTTTTAGAACAAAATCCTAACTACCCTTTTTGGCATTTCGCCTTTGAAACTGAGGAGCTTTGCTCACTTTTCTTTTAAGAACTTCCTAGGGAGAGGCTTCTTGAGGTAACATCTAGCGGTTTGGGATTTTCTAAACACTTAGGGAACTTTTCTTTCTTTTTGACACTTGAGGCTTTGCCTTCTTTTCATTCTACTTAGAACCCTTTTTACTTTCCTTTTTTAACTTCCCAAACCTTTACTAGACCCTTTTTAACACTGCCAACTCCCTGGACTTAACTAAACTCTTTTTCCTTTGGATTTTCCCAACTTTTACCACTTTTCTGGTTTTTACACCCAACTCGATCGAGCTCGAGTTGGCACCCCCAAACTTAGCCTGAAAACAATCCCAAGAGAACTAGACAACTAGAACTACTGCCCCTGCCGGTTTAAACACAACACCTTATGCTAAGCAAAGCCAAGAAAGGTTCTCACAATTCGCACAAGAGATAAAATGGGGTTTGAAATGAAAAGGCTTAGGTTTAAGGTGTGGTAACTGTCTCAAAGATGGAGATCAGCTATCTGGACAAGCAAAGGGATATGAAAATAGGTAAAGAATGTCCAGATATGTATGTGGTAGCCATGAGTTGAAATCAAATGCAAGCATTGGTAATTAAAGATCAAGTTATGGTTCAAATAGATAGGGAAATGCATCAAATCACAGCAATGGTTGAATGAGATGTGCATGCAGTGATATGATCAAGATAAACATGGTTCTTGCTGCTCAATCAATCTCACCCTAATGCACAAAAGAATCTAAAAACAGGGCACTCAAGAAATCGCAAATGATGAACAAGTTTTCAAAGTCAAATCAACAATGCAAGAAAATGCAATCCTAAACAATCTAACAAATATGAATGCAAAAAGATGAAAATATTTTTGGATTTTTTGAAAATTTTATGATTTTTTTGGTTTTTCTATGCAAAAGAAATGAAAAACTAAGAACAAAGAAAACAAGGTTAAATCATCTCTTGAACCCTCCCCCAAACTTAAATCACACAGTCCCTTGTGTGAGAGAAATTCAGTGAAAGATTCAAGAGGCAAAACCAAGAAAAAAAAAAATGCAAGAAAATATGAAATGGTATTACAAGGGTTGGTGTTTGGATACCTCAGTGCCCCCAAAGAACTGGGAGGCAAGGTCGTGGTCTGGAGAGGGCAGACGGCCATCAGGAGCACTCCATCGACCACTTCGTGCTCAGCTCGATCGAGCTTGCGGCTCCTCTTCTTCTTCCTCGAAGTGTGTGGCTCCTTGGCCTTGGTGGAGCTTGGCTAGCTCGAACTGTCCGTATGGGTTCCATCGGCTCTGGGGATAGTCCTGGTAAGGTGCTGGATCGTACTCGAATCCAGGGTTCTCGAATGGCTCCTCCAGGTCAACTCGACCATCAGCTCGATCGAGTTGAGTTTCCTCTGTTTGGACTCGATCGAGTCCTGGTCGAGTTGGAGCGTCGGCCTTGGAACTCTTCCTCCTTCTCTGCGTGTTGTCTCCTTCTTCCCTTGGTTCAAATGAGAGGCTCTGTGAGGCTCTTGGGCAGGGAGCCTCCTTGGAGTGGTGAGGAGTGATCTACTCCTAGGGAATGTGGCATGGGTGTCTTCTTCTTCTTGGATGAAGAACCAGAGACCTTCTTCTCCAAACTCTTGATCTTGCTCACCATCTTGTCCATGGACTTTTGCATTTTCTCAATGGCTTTCCCTTGCCACTTGTTGAACTTTTGGAGAAGTCCAATCCTCTTGTGGCAGCCACAACAGAGGGGTTCATCCTTGGAGCCTCATACTCCTCAAAGTAATAGCACTCAGGCTCACCCAAATCCGCATTCACTTGGCTCGATCCTCAGCTCGATCGAGCTCAGGCTCCTCTTCTCGCAAATCATCCTCATGCCCAACTAATGTGTACAAGGGGGTCTGAAGTCAATGTTCTCACCCCTGATGACTGTGGTGAGCTCAGGGTTGGGCAGGAGAAGCTTGGAAGGGTCCAGCCGTGGGGTGTGTGAACTTGAATTGGTACCTCCCATCCACTTCCTTGTGATCAATGAGGAGGTTGGTCTTGCAAAACTTGATGTCCATCCAACCAGCTGGAGTTGCCTTCTTCTTGTTTACTGACACCAGCTGCACAAGGATAGGTGTGATGATCCCTCCAACACTTAGCTTTCTTCCCTTTTGATGAGTGTTGTAGGCTGTGGTCTTAGGAGATAGCTGATCAAGGAGAGGCATGAATTCCTGTGTGCCCTGTCTCCTCTGATCTTCTTCCCATCCTTGTGCGTGAGATGATGGGCTTGATTCCCATGTCAAGGAGCTTGACTTCTCCTTCATTGATTGTCCCAGTGGCTTCCTTGCAAAGAAGGTGTTGGCAAGGCTTGTGACATATCTCAGCACTGGACTCCTGATCTGAGCAGCCTTGGACCTTGAGGAAGAGTACCCTCTTCAGCGATTGTAGCCCAAACTCTTTGGAGCTCATTTTCCTTGATATCCCAATGGTTCCTTCCCATAGTGAACCCAAACAGTATCTCAAGCTGCCTAAAGGTCACCATCTTCTTTCTCCCTTTGCCAAGAACGTGATCCATCCCAGCCTTGGTCCAACTCAGCTCGATCGAGCTCATCATACTTGTGGTACCTCATCGATGCCAAAAACTCACAAGTGAGCTCCTTGTATGACTCCATGCGATGAGAGAAGAACTTGGCCAAGTGCATGTTCTTGAGACTAGCTCCACATCCTCAAAGATTCCAAGAGCTCTTCATTGTGTCATCATGTGGGTACTTGGTTCCACAAAGTCCATGGAGAAGAGAGCATTGTAGTGCTCTTGGTACATGGGGAGTTCATCCTCCTCTTCTTGTGGCTCAGCCTCCTCCATGGGCTCATCTTGGTTACTCTTGCACTCTCATCAACCTCTTGATTCACCTCTTCTCCTTCTTCTTCACTTCAGACTCATCACTTCTCTTCTTTCCAATGTTACCCCAATCTCAAACTCTCCTTGCTCGCTCTCACTACTAATGGGGTCATTCCTCTTCTTGGTCCTCCTCTCTTCCCTCAATCTCTCTCTCAGACTCCTCTCAGAGTAACATATCCCTCTGCATCAGAACTTATCCTTGATTCATCCCTTCCAAATCGGCTTGCAACTTAAGCCTCCTTTCCATTGCATTGCTTGATTCACCCTCAACCATTCTCCTCTGCGAAGCACGGCTTCCCTCACTGTTTGTCATCCTTGTTATGCTGCTTTTTCAACTAAGTTCCTGAAATTCATCAAAGATTACAAAATTAGAGTTGTAATGATCGGATTCGGTCAACTCGACACTCAGCTCGATCGAGTCAAAAAACTCGAGTGACAAACTCGATCGAGCTAGGTGAAAACAGAGTAAACCGAACCTAATCAAGTATTAAGAGCTGGAAAGGATGCTAATCAATCAAATTGAACCAAGAACATCAAGTAATTGGAACAATGAGCAATTCTAGTGAAGATTAAGCATCCTAACCAATACCAAACTCAAATTCAAGGTTTTAAGCACATGCAACAAGTTTAAAGGTAAAACAGAGGTGAGGTGAGGCAAATTCACAAATTTTAAAGCAGAGAAGGATATGAAAGCAATTACTCAAGAACAAGTCCACAAGGGACACATGCAATCAAAATCAAGAGAACACAAGCAATAGAGGAATCGACTTAAGGATTGGGGTTTAGGGTTCATACCTTGCTTGGATGATGATGAACTAGAACAGTAGCTAGAACTAAAGCAATTAAGAGAAGAGCAAGAAGAATCGCAAAAACTCAAGAGAGATGAGAGATTTTCGGATTTTTCTTAGAGAGATGAGAGAGATGGATGATTTTCAGAAAATTTTGAGTGTGGGAGAGAGAGAGGTGGCGATCGAGTTATGGGGAAGAGGGAGTGTTTGAGATGTGTGGTTGAGGATTAAAAGATGGTTTAAAGAGGGGACAAAAGCTAGGGGTTTTCTGATCGATTTTGGGAATGGGGGACCAAAATTAACTTGTGGGACCCACCCCTTGACCAAGGAGGTTAGAATTTGAATTTCAAAAACTTACCTCGGTCGAGTTGTGGAACTCGATCGAGTTACCCTTGTTTCTAGCTCGATCGAGCTGTCGGTCGAGCTGGCTTCTTGTCACCTAAACTTAACTTTATGAAAGGTTAAGACACAAAACTAGATAGAAATTGCATAAAAAGTATGTACAAGGATAGTCATGGGACTTCCTCCCAAGTGAGCTTGTTTAAGGTCCCATAGCTTGACCTTTACCTCTTAGGCATTGGTTGAGCTAGTCCCACCATCAAGGGTGATAGTGAGGACTTGAGACAGAAGCTCCTTTAGCTTGGTTGGATCCCTGGACTGCTCTGAAGTGACCAAGGCCTTGGCTCTAGAGAATGGTCTTGATCTCCCCTTGTACCTTATCTTGTACTCAATCTTCCCATTTTCAAACTTGGTGGGGAACAAGGTCATTGTGAGCTGAGATGGCTTGGCTGAAGGGGCCTGAGCTGGTGGATCCTTTCTTTTATCTCCCCTGGTCTTGCCTTAGAGGCTGCATCCTCCCCTTCTTTTTGAGCCCTTCCTAGTGGCTCATCAAACAAAGCTTGAAGGCTTTCTTCATCAAGCACACAAGGGCTTGAACAAGTCTATCAGCTCGTGGCCTATCAGATCGTGGTCTCTCAACTCTAGCCTCTCAAGGCGTGGCTTCTCAATCCTTGGTCCTCTTATCAACTCTTTGATCCTTCTCCAACCTTCCTTCTCAACCTTATCTCTCACACTTGGCTCTTTCTTCACAACCTTTGGCACTTCAGAGCTTTGAACTGAGAGGAGTGCTTTCAATTGTGGCACAAAAGTCTGAACCTCTAGGCTGCAAGCGATATGACACCAAACTATTCACCTTGTGAAGAATCACTTCTTGCTTGTGAAAGTCTATTGAAGCGCCAACTGTGCTAAGGAATGGGGTTCCCAATAGCAGAGGTAGATCCTTCTCTTCTTCCATCTCCATGACAGTGATCAGTTTGGATGATGCATTCTCCTATTTTCAAGTGATAGTTCTTGAACACACCAAGAGGAGACTTAGAAGTTGCATCTCCAAACATGATTGAAGTAGTAGGGCGCTGCAATGCTCCAGCAATGCCTAGCTTTTCTGCCATTGAGAGGAGATCAGATTGATGCTTGCTCCAGAATCCACCAAGGCATTGTCAAGCTCAAGATGCCCAAGTGTGCAAGGGAGAGTGAATTTCCCTTGATCCTTCACCTTTGGTAGAAAGTAGGTGAAGTAAGCAGGTTGATTTGATGAGTAGACTCCAGACCTCTGAAACTTTATCATGTTAGCCATAACATCCTTGACCATTTCATTTGATCAAATGCCTCACTCATGCTTTCCATAGGAGGCAACTCAATTCCAATCCCACTGAGATCTCTTCTGAACTTGTGAATCACTTCCTTATGCCTTGACTAAGTAGGCGAGACGAGGAAGGGTCAACCGGTTGGTAAGGATCAAGCAAATCGGTTTGAGGATGATGTCGGACTCGATCGAGCTAGTCGACTCGATTGACTCGATCGAGCTGCCGATCGAGCTTGTTGTGCGAGCTCAACTGGTGAAGTGTGAATGGCTACAGTAGGTGCACTTCAGGTTGATCAATCTGGACTCCAGGAGCCTCAGCAGCAACAATCTCGTCATCATTCAGCAGCAAACAAAATCTTCCATGACTCTCTCTTGATCTTCTTCTTCATTAAGCCCCTCTTGACTGAAAATGTGATAAATCCCTTGTAGAGAATCGACACTTTGAAGCAAGTAGAGGTTGAATTGTAGCGATGGAGTGAATGGAATCAAGGACTTGGTGAAATGGATTGAGATGGTGAAATGATGAATGGATCGATGGAAAGTGATAGATGAGGATGGATTGAATGGCTATACCAGAGATCCAATGGAAAGGAATCTCCAACACCACCTCTAAAATAGTTGATACAACTCACAACTAATCTAAAGGGATTTCTCGGATTCAACACACCAAGAGAAAGGGTTCTTAGAATCACACTAAGAGATCTTTGAGTAAACAAAGGAAAAAGGTTTTTCATTCAAGGTTGCATAAAAACCAAAGGGAAATTCGTCCACACATATAAAGGGGAAAGAGAAGAGATAAATAAAGAGTCTAGTCTTGGAACATGCTCCAAAGACTATCTCGGAAAAGCAAACATAATTAAAGCAAAGTTTGAACACAAATATGACCCTTGGTCTTCATGGCCACGTTTTTAGTCTTCTTTATTGATGGGCCTAGGTCTTGATCAGCTAAATAGGTTATTTGTATGTGACCCATTTGCCTCATTAAAAACCTTGTCAAGAAAACCCATTGGGACAAAACTTGACAAGGGAAAAAGAGTACAAATGAGACACATGCCCATTTGCTGATCTCTTGAGCTTGGATCAAAAACCAGGGAGGTTTAGGATCAGGTTGTCTCCATTTTAGCTCAAGATTAACTTTGTAATGAGTAACCAATTCCATTGGTGCAGCTAAAGCTTCCTCAGCTACAAGCTCCGGTTCAAGCTCATCCTCAGCTACTAGCTTTCTTCCCTCACGTTCAAGCTGCTCCACTGGTTCAAGCTCTAAGTCCTTAACTCCATCAGGTTCAAGCTTAGGTCTATGCTCCTTGACCTTGGCGCTGGCCATAATCATATCAAAATGACCTTGTATTGTTCCTTGGGGTTCTGAACAGCTTTACCAGGTAGTTGTCCTTGCTTTGTAGCAGCAGAAACAGAAGAAATATGATACTCCAGAGAGTAAACTCTGGGGGTCGTCCCTGTCGGACGGGTCGGTGTCCGATGGTGACGTCGCGGCACGGTGCGTTCCTGCTCGAACTCGTTGTCGGCTAATGCGAATGCCGCGAGGAGCGACCTTTAGGGATCGGGTCTCTTCTGTGCTTTTGCGGCGTCCTCCCTTGGTTTCGATAATGTCACCCTTCTGTCCCTATGCTTCTCGGCAGAGAAATTTTTATCTTCTTCGAGAAAGATAAAATTTTGGGAGCGATGGAACGCGTTTTCAAAGTTGTGGGGGTCTCAGCGATAAGTCCTCTTTGAACTTAGAATCGTACCAGAGGCCATTGCGGAGCGTCTCCAGCGGAACGCTATCTGGCATGTCTCCGACGTCACGGGCTGCTTTCTTGAACTTCCCCATGAACTCTCGCAAGGATTTTCCTTGGACTTGCGTCATGGTGAACATGTTCCGGGTGACTCGGGTCATTTGCATAGAATAATGCTTTAGGAAAGCATTAGTTAGGTCGTCGAAATTGTCGATCGACTCGGCGGGTAAATTGGAGAACCAGACCAAAGCGTCTTTCGTCATGTGCTCGACGAACACTTAGCAATAGTTGGCTTCCTTCTCGTCATAGGAATTGTATCTCTCCCTTGCCATGGCGAGGTTAAACGCGGTCAGCCACTTCTTGGGATCTTCCTCCCCGGTGTAAGAATCGATTTTTAGTTGGACCCTCTCTCACAGATCGATCAGGCGGAGTCTGCGAGTGAGGGGGCTTTTCCGGGTGTCGGCGAGTGCTTTCGTCAACTCTGGGGCTGAGCTTGTGGCGCGATGGACTTAAAATCGACTTCGTCAAGGCAACGGTTCATTAGTTCGAGTTCTAGGGCCGCGCGTCTGCCAAAACGTGCGGGACGAGTTGCTGTCCCGTTGGTGGCAGCGGGATCCAGCGGTTCCTCGACTTGCTCCTGGGTCTTCTTTTGCTATGCTTGCATTGCCTCGAAGCCTTCAGCTAATGGCTTGACGAGACTCTCCATGAGCTTGCGGAACTTGAGGCTCGACGAGGATTTCTTCGGGTTGCGAGGCCTGTCACTTGAAGAGGTTTTCTTCGAGTGATGGCGTCGTGTGGACGGCGGAGGACTTTCATCCTTCCTTGGTGCCGTTGATTGTCGCGTCAAAGTGGATCTTCGCGGCGAGGTAGACCTTTGTGGCGAGGTAGATCTTCGCGGCGAGGTAGATCTTCGCGGTGACAAAGATCGACCCCTTGGGGGGACGGATCTGTCCCTATCTTCAGCGTGCAGTGACTTATCTACCGTCGTCGGCGGCAGATCGTCGGCTAAGTTTCCTTCTTCACAGGATGGGCTCTGTTAGAGGAGAAATTAGCACAATTTTCCTGAGCCCGTCACAATTAATAATATTATGCAAGCCCGGCCCGCTTCCCATTCCACCTCCTCAAAGAAAAGGAAGTACTTGGAGAAAAAAAAGACTACTTCCAAGAAAAATAGAAAGAGATCAACACCAAAGAAGAATATTTCCAAAAGAAATATGGAAGAATATCTTGAAGAAGCCAACCTCCTCTCCATATAAATAGAAGACCCCCTATTCCTTGAAGATCATCAGAAATTCTCCAAAATCACTGAGTAGAGAGGCAAAACCCTAGTTATAATTCGTCCTTTGTTCTTAGTTTCTCTATTCTTTTCGTATTCGTCTCGTCAAGCCTTTTCGTCGAGACGAATCACCCCTTGTACCATCTTTGTCTTTGGTTGATCTAATAAAGAGTCTCTCCTAAACCTCACATCTCTTATCTTACTATTACTGTGCGATTTTGAGATTCAACAATTGGCGCCCACCGTGGGGCTGGAGAAAAAACTCTGAAAAAAGTCAATCAAGGTTCAAAGATGGGACCTCCAAACGACGAGCTCGTCACCAAAACAGGCGGACTGCAAAGTCAACTCGGCGCAGATGGAAACCCCATCGTTCATCCCGTCGAAGTCGACGCGACCAACGGTCACGTCAACCCTCCGCCGCCACCGGTTCCTGACGTAGAAGCTCCCGTCACGGCCGCCGCGTTAACCGCCGCCATGCAAGGTTTTGCTGCTCAAATTGCCGAGATGCAAGCTCAGCAGCAAAAGTACAACGACAAGATCGACTCCCTCCATGTCACCAGCGACGGACGAGTCATCCCGACAGGACGAACTCTCTTCCAGACGCCAACAACAAGCATCGCGGCAATATGCTCTAATGCCTCGACAAACGGTGATAAAGATACCGACCCGGAAGTGGCCAAGCTGCGCCACGACCTTGATGATAGGATTTTGTGTGTGATGTGATGATATGTATGAAATGTAAATGAGGTGGAATGCAACAGTGGTATATGAAGATGAGGTGGTATGGTGCAAAACACAATCACAATCAATCAATTCCCCTTAACCATCATAGTCATTGAAGTATAAGGGGTATCAATCCATAAGGGTGAAATTATACTCTATGAGAATGCAAACACAAGGAAGTCAAGCAAAGATAAAGAGGGATGTAACACTAACAACCTAAGAAAAGAAATGCAATGCAATAAGTAAAGAAAGCAGTAAAGCAAGCAGCTCGACCAAGGACTCGAGTCGAGTGGGAACAGAGTAACCAAGCTCGATCGAGTTGAGGGTCGAGTTAGTAAAAAGCGATAAAGGCAGGAACTTTAACAAGCTAATGCGAATATTAGGGTCTAAGACAGGGTCTTACAATCAGGGAAGACTATACTTAATCAATCTTGCTCTTAAACAACTTGTATCAAGGTATCTCTTGATATTGAGCTTCTCAATGCCTAGCTAGCCCTTTCCCAAGGTGAAAGCTATCAACCAAGGCAATGATCTCAGAAACAGGGGGTTAGCCAGTGAGAATCAAGCCTTGGAGGCCATAGGATCATTGCTCAAACTAATCCATCCAACACCTATGAACTCCATTTCGAGAGCAAGGTTTATTGGAGCTCTTAGTGGACCTTTTCAAGCGATTTCCAACACTTCCATGTGGAAAATCGCCTATGACATACAAGCCAGGGGTAGTGGTCATGTAGCCTTAAGGTTTGTCCAAAAGAGAGAGATTTCTAGATTAAGAACATAAGCAAGAAGGATTAAGCATAAGATCCCCTAATCTAGCCCATCTTACCCTAAAGGAACTACTCACTACACATGAATGTAAACACAATCAAATGCAATGAAGAAACATTAAAAGAAGAAAGATAAAGATGAACAACTTTTATTGAAATAAGCAAGTGCAAATACAAAGAAATAACCTAGATCTAGGTTCAAGAGCAAGAGCTCAAGAACACAAAGAGAGGTTAGGGTTGCAAAAAGTAAAAGACAAAATTAAAAAAAGCTAAAACTAAAAATAAGCTAAAGATTGTTGTTTTTTCGTGGCTTAGAGCCTTTAAATACAAAGAGATTAGGTTTAGGGTCAAAGGGAAGTCAAGGGGGAAGCAACATTTTTCGGGTTTGACTGTTGACTTCTCAGCTCGATCGAGTTGAAGCTTGGCCGGTCGAGTTGAGGAACTCGACCGGATGGTCGAGTAGGTGGTCGAGCTGGTCTTCAAGATGACTTCCTCCTTCGTCCTTTGCGTGTCCAGTTGAGCTGCGTCCATGCACCAAGTCCTTCCTTGCTCCTCACGTCCCAAATGCTCCAAAGTGCTCCAAAAGACCTATTTCAAGGACCAAACATGCACATGTATGCAAATGCAACCTAAAACTACTATGAATGCACAAGAAGGGAAAAGGAACAAGATATGATGCTAATGGATGCTAAAACTATGCAAAAGATGCATAAAAGATGTACTAAAACCATGTAAAATGCAAGTACATCAGACCTCGACGCAATCAGCTCCAAAGTGCACGGCGCTATGAGCTCAGCACCCGAGATTGCCAAAGTCCTCGCCGAGATGAAAGAAGTCCTTTCACTCGTCGTATCGCCGCGATACCTCTAAGGGATCAAACGGTTCTCTGTCTTCAGTTCTACAACAAGGGTGACGATCCTCGAGGCTGGCTAAGAAACTTCGAGATCGTCATGAAAAGGCAAAAATATGCCTCCCCTGAAGAACAAGACGCAAATTACTGCCAAGTGTTCATCGAATATATGAACAAAGACGCGACGAGCTGGTTTTCAAATCTTCCCGCCGAGACCATCGACAGCTTCGACGATCTCAGCACGGCATTCATGAAACATTTTCGCATGTTTATATCAAAAGGCAGCACCAATCTTTTCACTATGGCATAGGGAAAAGATGAGCCTCTTCGCGAGTTCGTCAAGAGATTCAAAAATGCAGCAGCAGAGCACTCGGACATCCCCGACGAGATGGGAATCAAAGCTTTCGAAAATAGGCTTTGGTTCGAATCAAAGTTGAAAGAGAGTTTGATGCTCGACGAACCCGCAACCCTCCAGGACGCTTTGCACAGGTCCCAAAAAGACATCCGCGTCGAAGAAAGTAAGGCGCACCACTCAAAGATTCATGGAATGATGGAGTCTTCTCGACAAGCATCATCTCGTCAAGAGTCATCTCACCAAGAGAATAAAAGAAGGCCTCTTATGAGTCTTTTACGATGCAAAGAAGAGGGTAATGACGATACCAAATGGTGCAAGCTCTATGGACGAACCAATTATACTACAGAAGAATGTAGGCACGTCAACAACATGATACTGGAGTACAACAAAGGATATACTCCGTACTCCGCAAAGCCAAAGTGATGCTGAATGCTGCGACGAAAATCGCCGAGCTGCAAACCAGCGCTCACGTAAAAATCCATCTCGTCTCAACCACTCCCTCGCTCAGATGATCTGCCTCCGCCGCCAAAACGGCAAATCAGGTAAACATCTCGGCATACAAAAAACCGGTCTCGTCGAAGCGCGAGACCGAAAAAAAAATAAAAAATAAAAAATAAATAAAAAAACCGAGACTGCTCGTCAAATGAGCGTCGCGAAAAAAAAAAAAGGTGGAGTAATACTACCCTACTCGTCGCAACGAACTACGAATGGCTTGATCCCGGCATGGGTACGTAGGCAGCCTTTCCAAAAGTTCAGCTATAACTCCAATAAAATTTTATAATCCGTCTGACGAGATGAGCATTGTAGAATTTTATTCACCTTCAAAGGTACAGGTCCACGTTCTGGCCAAACGTCTCGACGAAACAAAACCGGGTCTTGTCAAAGCACAATCCCGAGATAACCGGCCTTGCCAAAGCGTCGAGCCCGAAAAAGCAATACCGTGTCCCGTCAAAGCACGATCACGAGAAAGCCGGTCTCGCCAAAGCGTCGAGCCCTAGAAAGCAATATCGGGTCTCGTCAAAGCACGATCCCGAGAAAACCGGTCTCGCCAAAGTGCCGAGCCCGAGAGAAACAAAAATCAAAGTAAACGGACTGATCATCCATGAGGAGTAAGCCGGCGCAAAGCCGTCGCGTCCGAACCGATGGGAATGCCTTCAGATTTTGGGTGAGCCCGAAAGGTCCGAGGTCTGGAGGACGAAGTCGAAGAAAGTCGAGATAAAACTTCGCATGTTTCTGATCTCTCAGACTCATAACACGGAATAAGTCGACGAAGTCATCGCGTCCAAACCGGCAAAAGTATTCCTTCAGATTTTGGAGGCCGACCAAAGTCGTCGCGTCCCAAATTCCGAAATCTGAAGTCCGAATTCCGAGATTCGAGAAAAAACTTCGCACTAAGGAATTTCTTCCCCACCATCTCGGCATGTGCGTACAATGCATCGCTTCGAACCCGGCCTAAAGCAAAATACTTCATCTCGGCATCGAATAGTGATTCGTCACAACTCTTTTAATGGAGAAGAAATCTTGCAAACCACTTCGGCGATGCGGTCTCGGCATAGCTACTTCATCTCGACATCGATGAAAGGTCAGTAAATTATTTCATCAATAGATTTAATTGTTGATAAGAGATACCATGCCGAAGTGAGTTCGTCATCTTTGACGAGCTGCTGTCAATGACGAGACGAACGATAATTACTCCTTGACAAGCTATTGTCAAGTCCAAAGATTGATCCTCCTTGAAGAGCATATGTCAAGTCCGAGAAAAACAAGTGTCGCCGAAGCGCGACCCAGACCGGTTTCGTCGAAGCACGATCCCGAGAAAAATAAGTGTTGCCAAAGCGCAACCCCAGTCGGTGTCGTCGAAGCACGACCCTAACCAATCTCGTCGAAGCACGAATCCGAGAAAAATCATCAGGAATCTATTCTCCTTGACGAGACAAAAGAGTCATCTCGTCAAGTCCAGAGAGAATTATCAAAAGCACATTTTATTTGCGGACAAGATTATGTCATCGTGGTCTTTTCCCTTTTTATGGTTTTTATCCCATAGGTTTTTCCATATCAAGGTTTTAACGAGGCGGTACGGATCTAAAGTCAATAACGCAACGCAACATCGCGTCAGCACAGCATCGGCATCGCGTCGGCATCACATAATTGTTATTAATTGCTCTTGAGCTCCTCTTTATACATGAAGTTCGCCGAGATTAAACTGCATTTATCTCGCCAAACTGGGGGGGACTTATTGTTAGAGGAGAAATTAGCACAATTTTCCTGAGCCGTCACAATTAATAATATTATGCAAGTCTGGTCCGCTTCCCACTTCCACCTCCTCAAAGAAAAGGAAGTACTTGGAGAAAAAGACTACTTCCAAGAAAAATGGAAAGAGATCAACACCAAAGAAGAATATTTCCAAAAGAAATATGGAAGAATATCTTGAAGAAGCCAACCTCCTCTCCATATAAATAGAAGACCCCCTATTCCTTGAAGATCATCAGAAATTCTCCACAATCACCGAGAGCAAGAGGCAAAACCCTAGTTATAATTCGTCTTTGTTCTTAGTTTCTTTATTCTTTTTGTATTCGTCTCGTCAAGCCTTTTCGTCGAGACGAATCACCCCTTGTACATCTTTGTCTTTGGTTGATCTAATAAAGAGTCTCTCCTAAACTTCACATCTCTTATCTTACTATTACTTTGCGATTTTGAGATTCAACAGGCTCCCGGTAGGGGTGTTCTCTTTCGAGTTTACCATGGTTGTATCTTCGTAAAAGTCGAGATACCTTCGAGATAAATAGCGAGAAGCGTTTCCAGCCCCACGGTGGGCACCAATTGTTGATTCTGAGATAGCACTCGTTAAGACGAGATATCAAAGCTGTGAGTTTAGGAAACTGGAGGCTTGATTAACTCGAAAAAATATCAAAGAGGTTACAAAAGAAGCAGCCTCGTCAATAGGTTTGACGAGACGACCGATGATAAACAAGAGGAGAACAAAGAGCAAAATAAAGGATGCTAAGTCTAGATTTCTTGGGAGTGATTGTAGATGATTCGATCTCTGTTCCACGAGTAGGGGTCTTCATTATATAGTGTTGATTTGTCGGCTCCTTGGTGTATATTTTCCCTTTGGCGAGATGGAAAATTTTCTCTTTAGCGATATGGAAAACTTCCTCATGTCCTTGATTTCCTTCTATTCTTCGAGTCGACATGAGTTTGTTTACATTTTCTCATGGATCGTGCTTTTCTCCTCAAGTCTTGCTATTTTGTTGAGGGGTTAGGCCTAAAATGGGCTTTGGCGATTTTACTAATGGTGATGGGCTCAGAGAAATGTGTTAATTTCTCCTCTAACTATTTTATAAACAAGGTGGTTGGCCCGCGCGCCTGCGCGGGCAACAGATGTTTTAGAATTCCAGATCCTTTCAATTAATATTAGATGAACGCATTTTCTTTTTAATTACTTTTCATATTTTTGTAATGTGTTTATTTTCCAAAGAATTAATAGTTTAACATTTTGTTAATTTGATATGAACTTATAAACAGTGAAAGATCTAGAAAAAAAAATTAGTTAAATTTTGTAATGGTCATTTTCTTCTCCCTCTTATTCTTTTTCACTGATCCCATCTTTTATTTTTCTTCCATTTATGTATTCGTTGTCATCATCTTTTTTTTCCCGCTTCTTCTTTTTCAATTTTTCGTTCTTCAATCATTTCTTGTGTCTTCATATCCTCCAACTTACTATTCTTCTTTTTCTTTCTATTTTTTTTATATTCTTTTTACGTTTTTTCTTCTTCCTCATTCCCCCTCACTCTCTATATTTATCATCTTCGTCTTCTCTGACATCATCTTATTCTAGTTTTTATTTCTTTCTTATTTGTCTTTTTTTTTCTTCACATTACATTTCTTCTTCTTTGTTTTATTTTTTCTCTTGAGTTTTCTTCTTCTTCTCGAAGTTTCTCATCTAGATGAAGACGGTTGAAATTTTCTTTTCCACCGTTTTCTTTTATTCTACTCGTGTTTTTATTTCTTCTTTTCTACGTCTTATATTTCACTCATTCAGTAATTTAGATTTTCAAGGATTCGAGATCTTTTTAAAATTTAATTAAGTTTGTTATCTTTTGATTATGGTTATCTTTCATTGTTTTATTTTTATTTTTCTATTTGTGAGTATATTTTAAAATGGTAGATATAAATTTATAATCAGTGATTTTTAATTTTGACATACTTTTATAAAATTCAAATTTTTAAAAATGCACCAAAAACTAAACCCTACACCCATCTATACAAACCCTAAACCCAAACTCCACATTATAAACCCCTCCTCCCCCTAATTAAAGAACCTACACCCTAAACCCAAAATCCACATTATAACTCCCTCAACTTCACACCTGAATCTCATATTACAAATTAGTTTTAGATTTGCTTTTATTTTTATTTTATTTATAAAAGTTTTTTTAATGGTTGTTTTCTTCTCCTTTTTATTCTTCTCTAGTTATTCTATCTTCTTCTTTTTTCTTCCATTTTTTATTCATTGTTATCATCTTCTTTTTTATGCTTCTTCTTCATCTTCCAATTTTTGTTCTTCAATCGGTTCTTATGTCTTTATATCCTCCAACTCAATATTCTTCTTTTTCTTTCTAATTTTCTTTACATTCTATTTCCGATTTTTCTTTTCCCTCATTCCCCCTCTCTCTCTCTATCTTTATCATCTTCGTCTTCTTTAACATCATCTTATTATAGTTTTTATTTATCTCTTCTTTGTCTTTTTTTTCTTCACATTCCATTTTTTCTTTTTCCTCGTGTTAAATTTTCTTCTTCCTCTCAAAGTTTCCTATCTTGTTTTCCATCGTCTTCTTTTCTCTTACTCTTGTTTTTCATTCTTGTCTACGTTTTGTATTTCACTTATCAATTCATTTGATAGTTAGATTTTGTTAATTCATGAATTCAATTAATATTAGATTAACGCGTTTTCTTTTTAATTACTTTTCATATTTTTGTAATGTGTTTATTTTCCATGGAAGTAATAGCTTTACATTTTGTTAATTTGATAAGAACTTATAAAATGTGAAAGCATAAAAAAAATTAGTTAAATTTTGTAATGGTTGTTTTCTTCTCCCTCTTATTCTTTTTTACTGATCCCATATTTTCTTTTTTTTTCTTCCATTTATTCATTCATTGTCATCATCTTTTTTTTTCAGCTTCTTCTTTTTCAAATTTTCGTTCTTCAATCCTTTCTTGTGTCTTCATATCCTCCAACTTACTATTCTTCTTTTTCTTTCTAATTTTCTTTACATTCTTTTTACGTTTTTCTTCTTCCTCATTCCCCTCACTCTCTAGCTTTATCATCTTCGTCTTCAGAGACATCATATTATTCTAGTTTTTATTTATCTCTTCTTTGTCTTTTTTTCTCTTTACATTCCATTTTTTCTCTTTGATTTATTTTTTCTCATATTCGAGTTTTCTTCTTTTTCCTCTCCATATTTTCCATCTTCTTTTCCATTGACTTCTTTTCTATTACTCGTATTTTTATTAGTTCTTGTGTACGTCTTGTATTCCACCTATCAATTCATCTGATACTTTAGATTTTCAAGGATTTATGATGTAGTTTTTTTTAATATTTATATAGTTGAGATCTTTTGAAAATCTTTGTTATCTTTCGATTCTGGATTTGCTTTAATTGTTGTAGTTTTTTTTCTATTTGTGAATGTAATTTTGAAAGGTAGATATCAAGTTATAATCAATGATTTATAATTGCGATTTTTATAATAATTCAAATTTTTAAAAATGCACCAAAATCTAAACCCTACACCCATCAATATAAACCCTAAACCCAAACTCCACATTATAAACCCTCCTCCCCCAAAATTAAAGAACCTACACCCTAAACCCACAAATCCACATTATAACTCCCCCTCAACTTCACACATGAACCTCATATTACAAATTAGTTTTAGATTTGCTTTTATTTTTATTTCATTTATAAAAGTTTTTTTTTAATTGTTGTTTTCTTCTCCCTTTTATTCTTCTCTAGTGATCCTATCTTCTTCTTTTTTCTTTCATTTTTTTATAGATTGTCATCATCTTCTTTTTTCTGCTTCTTCTTCATCTTCCAATTTTTGTTCTTCAATCGGTTCTTGTCCCTTTCTATCCTCCAACTCACTATTCTTCTTTTACGTTCTAATTTTCTTTACATTTTATTTCCGATTTTTCTTTTCCCTCATTCCCCCCCCTCTCTTTCTCTCTCTCCCTATCTTTATCATCTTTGTCTACTCATATTATAGTTTTTATTTATCTCTTCTTTGTCCTTTTTTTTCTTCACATTCCATTTTTTCTTTTTCCTCGTGTCAAATTTTTCTTCTTCCTCTCAAAGTTTCCTATCTTGTTTTCCATCGTCTTCTTTTCACTTACTCTTGTTTTTCGTTCTTGTCTACGTTTTGTATTTCATTTATCAATTC